TTTGAGAAACGATGTACAAATGCGCTTTACACAATTGATGTGTGTATGGATTGGGATAACACTTGTATGAGCCCCTAATAAAATGTAAAAAAAAAAAAGAATGAAATAATCATAAAAAAAAAAAAGTGGCCCACGATGACCATATAGTCACTATGTTAATGCCCTCTTGGTTTCTTCTGACATGTATTAATCTGTTATGCATGGTTCTGCCTTAGTGAATGAGTGTTACTGAAAGTGTTGCCTTGTCTCCAATCCCACAGTGTTTGTGTGAGTAGTGTCTTGTCACATAAGAGTTTAATCTATACAAGTCAGCAATTCATGTATTGCAATCTGAAGCCAATCTATACTTGTATAATTTCCTCTTCTCAGAAGTGATTTAAATTCTATACCATTGGCTAAATAATGACACTATCAATAGAATTATCTTATGACCCAGAGGGATGATTTATAATGTTTCTCTACCCTAAAATAATGATGTCTCTAAATTGAACCAGAGACCTATATAAACCACAAATATATGAATGGGTTAGGGGCTCCCACTTAATTCTAGCCCCAATCTAAGAACAATTAGTGCTTATGACACATCCCCGTTGAATCACACCTTCACAAAGAGATCGCTGAAGATATGAGTGCTTTAGCAAAGTGTAGTGAAGAAACCAAATGGGGACTATTACACCAAATTTGAGAACTATTATACCAGCCACACTTCTGACACACACGTGGTTCAGATTCTTATTAAGTAAATACTGCTTAAAATTAATTTTTAAATATGTAAATTAACACCCCACCCCCAAATGAACAGAACACAAAATCAGAAAACCCACAAGTATCCTTGTCCCAACAATTCCACTTTCAGAAATGTATCCTAAGGAACAACTTAAAGAACTTCGTAAAAGTGCATCTTCATTACATTAATGCTTATAACAAGAAACAGAAAAGAAAGTCTAATAGGGACTTAGTTAAGTGTATTATGGTACTTCGCATCGTAAAACATTATTCAACTACCATGAATGATGAGTGGGTTCAAGCATCACCACCTCAGACATCCACTGGGGGCAGAAGAAGCCAAAGGAGGGAGGAAGTCTTTGGTTAAGTACACAGCACTGGCCCTATGTGGAGCGGCCGCCAATTACTCAGATCCAGTTCATGGCTGCAAACAAAAGGGGGTGTGTCTAAGTAGCTAGTGCTGTCGACATCCAGTTTTGTTTCGTTTGGTTGGTTGGTTGGTTGTTTTTTTAGTAGGAATTTCACATTTGTTTAGCAAAATCTCTTGACTTTCAAAAGTTTCCTATTGGCTAAAATGCTGTGAAAAAGGCTCAGTGACTACACCTTTTATCTACGGATTGGCTCTAAGGAGCCCTGGTGGCACAGTGAGCTGGGCATTGGCTGCTAGCTGCAAAATCACAGTTCAAACCCATCCGCTGCTCCTCGGTAGAAAGATAAGGCTGCCGGCTCCCACACATACGTGTAGTCTCATAAAGTTCATACAGGGTCACTCCGAGTCAGAATTAACTCAATGGCCCTGGGTTTGGTGTTTTTATGGCTTGCATGTATTCCAAAGACTGAGACCGCCAATGTACGTAGCATGTATTTTATTGGTAATGAAAGATACCCATGCTATATTGTTAATGTTTTTAAGTCTCTTGAAAGAAGCTTATGTAATATTCTCTTCTTTAAAACAAAAATTGCAAAAGCTTATTTATTTCTACATGTAAACTCTAAACTATCTGAAGGGCTAGAAATAACAATCTTAATAGTGTTTGCTACTTTTGTTTTTATATATTTCTCCACATTTGCATTTGATGTTGGTGACTATTATTATCTTACTATAAACATGATAAACCTATTATCACTTGTGGTTATGCAACAAAGAACCGGTAGCCTGGTTTGAAATTTTAAGAATTAAAAATTTAAAAGTCTACCAGTGAATAAATACTCTTGAATATAAAGTCATATGCACCTGAGTTCAAAGTGAATTCTTCCAATTGGAGGTTGCGCTACATCCTCAAAAAATGTGATATTTTCTTTATTGTGTCAATAGGACCCTACCAGGGTAAGGTGTGTCTTAAATGCACCATTTGGGGGTAATAAAAATAGCAGATTAGGCACAGAAATAAGAGACACCACAGATGGGGGAAGATAAATGCTGTAGTGATGGCCAAATAACTGAAGAACGGATCTGGAACGAGATTAGGACCTTCCTCAGAGAAGCCCCGAGAGAAGGCCCTCCCCTAGAGCCAGAGCCTCGTTCAAACCTCTGATCTCCTACATTGTGGGAAAAGAAATGTGTTGAAAATCACCCACTTGTGGTATTTCTGTTAGAAACTAAAAGAACACTAATGGAGTGGCCAACCAGTGAAATGATGGTAATATCCACTAGTCCTACTTCAAATACCCCTGGTTATGTGGAAATCAGTAGGTGAAAACAGAATTAATATCTACCACCCTGCCTTCCGAAAGTTAAGTGGATAAAAGGAGTCTTTTTCTGACCTCTCAGCCTGTAAAGGACGCAGACACCTGTAGGAATCACAATGGGGGGGGGGGGGGGACTCATGATCAGCAATGGTGGGCCTTTATTCTTTCATCTCTTCCACTCTCAGAATCGACAGCTCCTCCCCAATTCACACCCTCTGCTGTGGTAGTTACATAATCTGGTGTCAGTTTGGGACTTGAGAGGATTAAGAATGAAGGGATGAAGTGTAGTCTGTCAATCGGATCATAGACAATGAGGTCTCTGTGTGAGCATAGCCTTCTCCTGAAGATTCTGGGAACTTCTGTATTTCTTCCTTAAAGGTGGGAGACACATTCTCTCTCTGCTCACTTCCTGAGAGATGCTCTACTGACAAGACACTGGCACTGTGCTGATAGACCCCGTGCCCTGGGAACAGGAGGAGCCATGCCAGCGCTCAGATGCTTACAACACCACTGAATCCACAAGACTTCTCACCCTCTGGCTTGTGATCTCCCTGCATTCGGCACCATTGCATGTGTTTTGTGAGTCTGAAGAGGACTTCACAGATTGGTAGTGGACTTATCAGACTTATGGACTTGATCTGGACTGGGTTGGCATGCTTTCTCAATATTCAATTGCTTTTGTAAGCTCTTTCCTATCCACATATGAGTCTATGAATGTGTTTCTCTAGTCCACCCAGACTAGCACACCTGCTTAGCAACACAACCCAGCCGTCAGGAAAAGAGACTATCTGACAATTCATTGGCGGAAATACCATTATAGAGGAGGTGAAGTCCCCATCACAGTCTTGACAGCATACAGGTAAGTCCTACACCAGTCAGTGGAACTCAGGAACAAATAGAATCAGGTAGGGAAGCCACTTCCACGGACCGGATTGGAAGTGAAAACGTGAGCACACATGCTTGGAGAGCTTGCCATCTGTCTGCTGCTTCTCCACTCCTCTCTCTCATCAGCAAGGGAATAACTTGCTCTAAGCGTATGTCAGGGTGGGAAAGAGGTCCACAGGAGAAACCAACCAATTGGCTGACATTAGTTGGGATTCAGGAGCCCTGGTGGCACAGAGCTAAAGTGCTTGACTACTGACCAAAAAGTCAATGGTTCAAACCCTCTAGCCACGCCACTGGAGAACCCTGTAACACAGCCTGCTTCTGTACAGATCATGTAGCCGTGGACATCCGCTAGGGCAGTTCCACTGCCTGTGAGGTCAGTCGGAGCGAGCCAGAGTTGGTGTGACAGCAGTGGGGAGGGTTGAGGGGGGCTGTGTTTCTAGTTGTGTCCCTCCTTTTCATCTCATGGCGCTTAGATCTTTCCACGTTTCCTCCTTCAGGAGGATTAGGGATCAAGGAGGAAAAACACATTTTCAGGCTATTACATTACCACTGCCAATCTGCCTTAAAAGGAGTTTGGACTATGTCCCCCAAGGGCCCACTTGTAAATGCCGGAAGTAACCACAGCACATTTGGTCCACAGAAGTAGCACATGTTTTGAGATATATTTGATATGACAACCCATTTTCATTATTTTTTCCTTTTTAAATTGATTCACAATAAAGAGAACAATGTTAAGTGCTGTTTCATATCTTTACTCTTTTAGTAATGTGCAACATGAACAGAATAGTGTTAAGAAGAAATCAAGAATAACTTAACACAGTAGCTATAGAAGACATTTTACATTTGCAAATTCTCAACGACTATCTTCCCTAAATCACCCAAATTAGCACATTTGTTAATCAAATCAATTCAGAAGCTTTTCAAAATAAAAGCAATGCTTTAAATAAATATAATCTTTCATAACCATACGACATTTAGCTCTGTTGAAGGTAACAAACATATCACATGAAGTAGTTGATAAGGACATTGGGCTGAAAATCATCTAGATGCAATTATAAATGTACTCTAACGCATCAGGTTTTTTCTTTCTTTTTTGTGTGTTTGTCTGTTAAAATTGTATGGCAGATGGTCCATAGTAAGATGACTCTTAAGTCATCGCAAAAATATTATCTGACATACAGAATTTATATCTGCTAAACCCGATGGCTCAATGGCACCTAACAAAAAAATGATGATATTGTTTGAACTGTGTCTGTAAATGTAAATTGAGTACGCTAAATTAAATGTCATCAATGTCAAGACTTTTTAGACACCCATGCCTATTATCCGAAAATGAATGCTAGACTCCCAGTTTGATAGAATGACGGCATCCTACAAGTCTTAACCTTGAAATTCATTACTGAATGTTACTGTCATGTGGTGATCCCAATTACACTGCTCCAGAGGACCATCTAAGTGGTTATGAAACAACTTTCCCACCAAAATGATCTGTTAGTAAATTGCACCAGAAAATTTCTCTCCTCAAAATTGGTATTATTTCATCAATATTTTAAATAGTTCATTACCTGAAGAAATGACTGCGGACCTTCCCAACAATTCTGATCATTTGTCTACCTTCCATTCCCTTTCTTCTCTACTGTGATTCTTTGGAATTGTTCTAACCTATATTTTCATCTATCAGAATATCTAGGCATTGGTAAGTTGGATTTCCTTCCATAGTAACTTATGTTAAGATCTCTAACTTAAATAACAAGGACAGAGGAGAGACTCTAAACACACCAACAGGTGACAGTAAGTGCTCTTTAGGATTTCAAGTGAACGATTTTGTCCCCAAATATTAAAGGAATAACTTACTACATGAATAATACAACAGAATAGATTTTACGGATTTCACATACGCATACACACTTCCACACACATCCACACGTGGCTGTGTCCACACATCTCAGATTTTGAAACACTGCTACTGAAGTTTTAACTTAGATAAATTAACTGCATTAAAATACTGACATCGTGAAAATATCTGAGTATGGCCAACACCTCACGGAGGGCATACTTCGGTGACTTTCTAAAAACTGGAAGGAAAATCAGAAAGAGAAAGCCGAGTCCATGGCAGAGAGGAGGTGAGCGTGCTCACGGCTTCCCCTTCTCCTCCCCACTCTCCTTCTCCTCGATGGCCTCCAGGCTGCGCTTGCCCTTGGCATCGACGCTGCTGCCCGGGCCTTTACTCAGTCCACAGGACAAGCACGCCAGTTGAATCTGCTTCATGTTTTCTAAAGCTTCGTTCTTGGCATTCTTCAACAGATCTCCTTGGCCCTGCAAATAGGTAGAAACATACACCAGAGAAGAGCGTTATGGCCAAACATATGCTGCGGGGCACTCGGCGAGATCTTCTGTGCCTTTCGTGAATGAGGCAAGAGACCCGGACCCAGACATGCAATTCCCTCGGGCTTTCTCCAGGGTTTGTTCTGCCATGATCGAGGGACGGGCCTCCATCTGAGCCTTACCCGCCATCTCTGAGGGTCTCGCCAACCATTCAGACCGTTTGAAAAGATGCCCCGCCAAGAGGAGCCTGGAACTGTGCACACAGCTACAACCGCCGTCCCTTCCAGACCCAGCACCCCACACTGAGGATAAAACAGACAGCAGAGCTTCCTTCATAACCTGAGCATTACACCAGCCCCTCGGTGTATAAGATCGGATGAAGCAAAACACATCTTCAGTAACTGAAGACTCCCATCCTTATGAACTTGGTTTCAGTATGTGGAGTCACCCCTGCAATTTGCCTTTTGGTACAAGATCAGCCACCCACAATCCTTCGGCCTTTTCCATCATCCTCAGCACAACGTTCCCATTTGGCTGGTGAAGATTGATCTCCGGCAGCTCAAGACATCCATCAAAACAAGACGTGAAAGAACATCCCAGGGACCCATTCGCTGCCAGTTTCATCTGAGTGGAGAAAGGTCTTTGCGTGCTGCCCTGACCGAGGAGGCCCTTGGAGGCATTGTAGGCCACACGCGCGAGCTGCTTACCACCAGGTCAACAGGTTAACCCCCCAAGCTGTTCTACAGGGGAACATGTGAGGCTGTCTGCTCCTGTAAAGACTGAAACCCAAAGTTTGAAACCCAAAGGAGCAGTCCTACTTTGTCCTACAGGGATACTATGAGAGGGAAACCACGTGGGGGCAGTGAATTTTTTCAGTTGACCTCTAAGGTTGGTTCATCATTAAGGTGATGAAATATATACTCTCTGTGGTCCGGGACCTCAAGAACTAAGTGTGGGGAAACCAGAACATGTTTCTACAGTGTGTCGATGAAAGAAGAGGATTCCTTTTTCTCTCTCCTCTCCACAACCCTGAAACTGCGAAGAAGAAGGAAGGGCGTGCAGGTGACTCGGGATGCTGGAGAGGCTTTCTACCAAGCAGAAGCTCCAAGAACAGAAGGCTCTCCATGGATGGCATCTGCTGCTCAAGGTGTTCCACGATGCCCTGTGCCACCCCTTCAAGGGGATGAGTGCTCTCCCTCAGGGCATAGGAAGACTTGTGTCAATCCCTTATCATAGTCCGTTCCTCAAAATCTATAAACATACGAACAATCCATCTAGTGTAATAATAACTGTGTAAACTCAGACCCTTCTACACTCACTATGAGTCAGAATCAACTTGATAGAAGTGAAGTTTTGTTTTGTTTTTAACCCAGAAACAAAACCAGTAGCCACTGAGTCAATTCCAACACATAGTGCGCCCGTAGCTACATAAAGCAGTGAAACCCAATTGCCGATTCAGACTCCTGGTGACTGGGTAGCACAAATGGCTAAGTACCTAACTACTCACCAAAAGGCTGGCAGTTTGAAACCCACCCCCCCACCCCCACCAGAGGTGTCTCAGAAAAACAGGCCAGGCCATCTGCTTCCAAAAGGTCACACCTTGAGACCATTACAACATTACTTGTAATAAAAAAAATTAGCTTCCTTGGGTGCACAAACTGCATTTAGGGCAGTATTTTTGTTAAAGAAAATATATCTCAATTTAAAGCATCTAAAATTTAAAGCAAAGTGCCTCAAGTATGGAAGGGAATTTTAGAAGCTAACTAGGAGATTGCACAAGGGAAGCTATGAGCCTGGTGAGCTAAATGACTCACCTGGGGCTAATGTTTGTCCTCTGCTCTATCCCCCCCACCACGTCTATAATTTGGTCTGAGGCAGGGTGAAGATGGGCTGAATGAAGATGGATTTTCGAAGATGAGTGTATATACTAGATCAGCAGAAATTGGGACCCCTGTAGGTGTCCATAGAATCTCTAGGTGGTACAGATGATTAGCATACTAAAAAAGGTTGAAGGTTCAAATCCACCCACAGGCACCACAGACGAAAGAAGTAGCCGTCTATTTCTGGGCACAGCCCAAATCTGACATGCATGAGGAGGAGGTACCAGGAGTCCAAACAGACTTGAGAGGAACCCCTTGTGTTGCTCATTCTTAAGAGTTCATGCTTAACATAGGAAAAGAATGTCACACCCACTCTGCAAACTGTAATTCCTAATACAAAGCCTATGGCGTCCCCACAATACTACATGACTTGTATCTTCTTCTTCCATTGTTGTTGGAAACTAGCTTGCATATCACAAAAGAATTTAAGTTAGCTTCACTTTTACTTTTCCTCCTTTTGGAACCACTCAGACCAATGCTTAGGGCTCATTGGTAAATGTGGTAGTTATATAATCTGGTATCAATTTGAGAGGATTATAAGTAAAGGGGTGGAGTCTGGCCTATCCATCAAGATATAACCAATGAGGTCTCTGTGTGGGCATGACCTTCTCCTGAGAATTCTGGGAATTCCCAATTTTCCTCCTTGGAAGTAGGAGACACTTCTTTCTCTTTGCTCACTCCCTGAGATGATGCTCTACTAACAAGACACATGGTGTTACGCCTTGGGAGCTGAAGAAGCCACATGGACCTACCCTGATGCAACCAGACCTCTGGAGCCAGAGAAGCCACGTAGAGACCCCTGGCAGTGCTGAGATGCTTACAATGCCACTGGATCCAGAAGACTTCCAACCCACTGGCTGTGATTCTCATGCATTCGGTATCATTGTATGTGTTTCATGAGTCTGAAGAGGACTGTATAGATTGGTATCAGACATATGGGCTAATATAAGACTTATGGACTTGATCTGGACTGGTCTGGGATGTTTTCTCATTATTCAATTGTTCTTGTATATAAACCTCTTTCATATTCACATATGCATGTCTATGGATTTGTTTCTCTAGTCCACCCAGACTAACACGGTAAGGAACCTAGAGGGTTTTCTAAGATTGCGACTTGTATCTTCTCCAGGCAAATGGAAGCACACGAAAGCCTCCTGCGCAGTTACCCGTACAAACAACACAGGCAAAAAGGAATGCCGTTTCCTACATTGAGAGAATTTAGAGGTGGAGTGTAGAGAGTCTGGAAAGTGGGGGTGTGGTGAGAACAAATTCAAGGAACAGAAGTCAGAGTATTTTAATTCTACTTTCAGTTTTTCCACTTTCCTCCTCCCAGAAGTTATTATGTTTTCCTTAACATGATTTACACCCAACTTTTGCCTTTCTTTCCATTCCAGCAATTAAAGAAAATGTGTGGAAAACTGTGATTTAAATAATCATAAATAATGCACGTCATCAAGTGATCTAGATTGCAGGCAATAGTGTCTGCCACTACAACAAATACTTAGTGCTGGTACACTTTAATATAAATTGGACAGATTTTTAAAATGCATTTAATTGAGTCTGTTTTATGGAGATATGAAGTTTTACATCGTTCTTTCAAAGGAAAAAAACATTTAAAAGAAGAACAATGAGGTTACACTCACACTCATGTTCAGAATACGACTTTTAATGCTTTTTTTCACTTGTTTTGACATTGTCATCAAACATTAGAATAGCCTCCCAAAATCTTTCACTGAAAACACAATCAAATATTATTAAAAAGAAGAAGAAGATACGCATACCAAAAGTACAACTGGCACCTTCTTAATTGGAAGAGAACAGAAAAACACAAAAATATCAGGCATGTTACTACTACTGTATAATGATCTCCAGTCTCCTTTTCCTACTGCAGATGATGAAATGAATTAATTAATCAGACCAAATGGCATCTCATCAGTGGATGAAAGGTGGCATCCAAACCTAACCATGAGATTCTGCCAGTTCTGGTAAATAGAAGCCAGTCTCTCTAGAAAACAATGGCTAATTGGAGAAAACAGTTTGTCCCAGTGCACAAGAACAAAACTACGTCATCTCCTAATAACCCTGGAGACGATGTGTCCTGGCTGTACTACGCTGGCAGGGGGGAAATAGAGCAAAGTTAAACCATTAACTAATTGAGGAAACAGAAATGAAAGGCTGAGTTATGAAGCATTTACATGGAGACTTAGTCTAAAGCTTTGCTTTCTATTGTGTTCAGAAGGAAGACTAGAGATTGTCTGTTTCTGGTTCCAGGGATCGCACACGATCCCTCCTCCTACAATCTTCCCATTAACGGCACCAGGACCAGCACAGAGACATTCTAGGCAAACGTGTAAGGAAGGCAGTATTTATGGGTCACACCTTCCATCCTGGCATTCCTCTAGATGTTGACTTCTCTTCGCCTTTGGGGCAGCAATTCCTGTGATCACCTAGTATACTGTATTCTCTCTCTCTCTACTCTACCAGCCCCCAAGTCTCTCATAACTGGCCACCTTCCCCGAGATCTTCTCATTCAAAGATGTATCCTTTCTTCAAGAAGTTACTAGGTATTCAGATGGGTTCAGCCATTTTGCAGTATTACTGTGTGATATGACCTTAGAAGTATTTTCAGAGGGGTTTCCTCAAACAGAGGTCTTGGAAGAGGAAGAAGAAGAGGCAGTCGGGCGAATGCATTTCACTTGGTGGTATATAAACTGGAACATCTCTTGGGCACTAAAATAAACTCCTACTTGTCATGGCTTGGGATGCAAAATCAATGTGCAATTTGAACATTGAAAAACAACTTTAAAGACATATCAAACTGCTGCCAGCACATTCATATACCAGAAATCCATGCAGCTTCCTTGTTTCTCTTCTCTGCTACTAGGAATCCGGGAAAAGAAAAGAAGAGAGTTAGGAAAAAAGGAGGAATGGACATGAAACAGCGCAGAAGTCAGCGAGGGGACAGTGAGGGGTTGCAATGATGAAATGATTCAGCATATGTATGAATTCTTCCCTGTAACACTGAGGACCTTCTCTATAATTAACATTAAAAAGTTCAGAGAGAAAGAGAGACTACTTGAACCCACGGGAAAGTAAGAGTAATAAGGGTCA